TATGTTTAGCGATAGGGTAAGGGGTAGGGTTAGGGAGTGGTTGGGTGTCTAGCTCCACCCATTACATCCAGCGAGGGGGAGCTAAAGCTCCAGCTCCTCCCATTTGGCTCTGCAGCGAGCACCCTCTCTCCCGTTGTGGCTCGTCACATTGTACCATTCATCACCTGTTTTGCTAAAACCAAAGTAGCAATACAGAAGAAATTAGTGTCAGAAAGAACATCATAAGGGTTTGCGACAACATGAGGGTGAGTAAATGATGACAGAATTATTATTATTTTAGTTGAACTGTCCCTTTAACACAGCATGCTTACGAGCCAGGTTTATACTGCAGTGAATACAGGAAACTGTCATCATAATTGGAAATAGGAGAGAAGATGCGATGATGACTAGGTTAAGGTTGGGACATTGTTCACTGAATAAAACACTAAAGATGATAGGGAAGCACGAGACAGGGTTGTGTGAGGGATGTCGAGCAGAGGAGTCAGTGGAGCACATAATCATGACTTGTAAGAGATATGAAACACAGAGGCAGGTAATGAAGAATAAACTAAGGGAGATTGGGGTGCAGGAGATCACATTACAAGGGTTACTAAGCACAGTAAATAGGGCACAGAGTAGAATATTGATTACTTTTTTAAGGGAAGCAGGGGTTTTAAGCAGGATTTGATGTATGATGTGTGTGGATATTAATGTGAGGGGACAATGTGAGTGTTGTGTAAGTTTTAGTGGGAAAAGGGAATAGATAACCTATTAGCTGATCCACACTCCGGAGCAGAAGGGGGCGGTAATGCACCAATAAGCTGGATGCCAACCGCCGTTAAACTGGAAAGAAGAAGAAGAAACTGTCATCATCGTCTAGAGGCTTCTTCCACTGAAGATTTGATCGGATTATCGTGACACCCTGCGGCGATTTAAGCAGAATGTCCCTTCTGAAATAAAACAGACAGGCGGTATTCTGTGTTATGGATATGTAAGTAATCATTTAAATATTAACGTACAGTTACTGCAGTTCCACGCATCATGCCTTTTGTGTTCTTACCTATGTTGATTAACAGCGTCAAAACCACCCCTAAGTTATATGTGGCGGATCATTTCGACGCTTTTTAATCCATATCTTTCACCGTGAAATCAGCCATCTAGCTGGCTTTCTTGAGGAAACACGCCAGTTCCTCTTACGATAAACAAAGTAAATGTTGCGTAATGTGTCCCGTTATAAGAGACTCGCGCCATAAAATCAAAACACAAAAGTATATGTTAAACCCAATAAAAATGTCACAGCACTGTTTTTACTACTTTTTACGCATACATCTCATTTGTAAGACTTCTATTAGTCAGTCGCCGATACAGAGATACAGATCCTCTTTCGTCTCTCACATTCCGCCCACTCTTCGTTGTCTGTAAAGGAAGTTTTGGCAGTCCCAAAATATCGCGAGATATTCGCAATTGCTGCTACTACGGATGGAGTTAAGATCACAATTATGGACTCCAAACAAACACAACAAATGGTGTCCTCTTCCCGAAATGCCATTCAAGGCAAGGGCGCAAAAACACATTTTGGAAATGACTCGCAATAAATAAAATGCTGATAAAATGCCATAATGAACTCTCGCGAGACCAAGCGATAATTTCTCGACATTGGCCACTAGCCAAAAGCGAAACTAAAATCAAACGAAAATTTATATTACCGCTTTTTTAGTTGAGTTTTCTGACCGATACAGTGCAATCTGTAACGGCGTTAAAACTAATCTTATTTATGTAGGAACTACTTGTCACTGAAGAATATGCGTTATATTTATATAAATAAAAAATAAACCTTTTTGTATAGACATATCCTATCATAAAGTCGACCACAAAATAAATAACTAAATATAGCATACATGACCCACTTTTGTCACACTATGGGGCTTTTTTTTATTGAAACATAGGCTACAACAACTCATGAAACAGATAAAACTATAAAACCATTGTAATTAATAGCTATTGCAACTAATACAATGTGCACATTTATAACATTTACAATCAGAATCAGAAAGAGCTTTATTGCCAAGTATGTTTGCACATACAAGGAATTTGTTATAGTGTCACAAACTTCCAGTACACTGAGACAACAACAACACACAGATAATAAAAGTGAGATGTGAATAAAATACACATGCATAAATATAAACCTCAAAAAAAGAATAAATTGTATGTACAGGTGTGCTATAGATGGAATAGGAATAGAATAAAATAAAATAAGTTGTAGGGATGTACTAGGGTTTAGGGTGATAAAAAAGTATAAGGTTATTGCACATACTGTACTTTAATTGCACAATGGGAGAACATTAACGGTTCATGAGGTAGATTGCCTGGGGAAAGAAACTGTTCTTGTGCCTGGCTGTCCTGGTATTCGGTGCTCTGTAACGCCGACCAGATGGCAAAAGTTCAAAAAGGAGATGGCTTGGATGTGATGGATCCAGAGTGATTTTCTGAGCCCTTTTCCTCACTCTGGATGTAAGTTCTTGGAGGGTAGGCAGGGGGGCACCAATAATCCTTTCAGCAGTCCGAACCGTTCTCTGTAGTCTTCTGATGTCTGATTTTGTAGCTGAACCAAACCAGACAGTTATTGAAGTGCACAGAACAGACTCGATGACGGCTGAGTAGAACTGTTTCAGCAGCTCCTGTGGCAGGTTGAATTTCCTCAGCTGGCGAAGGAAGTACAACCTCTGCTGGGCCTTTTTAACAATGGAGTCAATGTGAGTGTCCCACTTCAGGTCCTGAGAGATGGTGGTGCCCAGGAACCTGAATGACTCCACTGTCGTTACAGTGCTATCCATGACGCTTCCTGAGCTTCACAAGCGCGCCGGCTCGCTTCCCCCGTCTGCGCATCCTGAAGCGCTTGATCAGCGCAACAGCTCCGCCAAGTACAACGTTCAGCAAAACGTCCGAATAAACGAAATCCGGTAGAAGATTGTGTGGTGTGTTCTGCCGAATGTTCAGCAGCTCATCCCTGGTAAAACTGATCGTGTTTGAGAAACAAAAAACTGGAAAAACTAACAAAAACAGTACAAACACTGGAGAGCCAAACACTGCGGCTGCCGTCTGTGGCGCCATCGTAATGTCAACACATGTCGTAACATGTAAGACAACCATGATTCTTGTCAGAAAGCATGCTAGTAGATATAGACTTGTGACAACACTCCGTGTTTTAAAAATCAAGTGATGTGCTTGTGATTTTGGTATTAAGTTAATTTGACAACTTAAGTTTACTTCTAAATTGCAACTTGAAAACAATAATCATACAATTTCCTATACCAGGGATCCTCAAATCTGGCCCACGAGATCCACTTTCCTGCAAAGTTTAGCTCTAACCCTAATCAAACACACCTGGGCATGCTAATCAATGTGTTCGGGATCATTAGAAAATCACAGGTAAGTGACTTTGATCAGGGTTGGAGCTAAACTCTGCAGCGCATTGGCCCTCCAGGGCAAGATTTGAGGAACCCTGTCCTATACTATGTTCATATATATTCCAGTACAGCAGGTGGCGATATAGACGCTCATTCCGGATATGCTCCTCTTCAAGAACAAGACGTTCAAATACGGAGTCTACGGTATATTATTCTAGTTTTTTAGTTACAACATTGTACATTCTTGCCTTGTGAATGTGTCTTTAACTATATATCTATGAGACAGGCGAGTAACTCAGTTAATACCAAATTCTTAAAAAATAGTGATATATGTTTATTCTATATTCATCCAACCAAAAGGCACGGGGAAAATCATTATTTTGCTTATTGTCAGAATAACTTCAGATTTTTAGCCTCCATGACAGTCGATTAACGTTACTGGGTTACAGGTTTTAATTTGGCTCCATCCCTAAAGATGAATTAAGCCAGTCAAAGTAAGTCGGGTGAAAGTGAAAGTATTACACAGAAGATGGAGAGTCATCATCAGGGTGCTGTGAGCAGCAGCTCTGGAGCTGATCTTCTCTCCAGGATCGCTCTCAATGATAACAAAGCTGGCATGGAGGGGCTGGACAGAGACAAGATCAACAAGATCATTCTGGAAACCTCCAAGGTTTGCACAGCTATTTATTTACTTGGGTTACACGGTATTATGCATACTTGGGCTGTGTATTTAGGCTATATGAATGGTTTTATAAAGTGTAGCCTTTGTCAGGGGTTTTCAATCTTGTAAGTGCCATAGATGATACAGTATGATGAATACATATATGATCATCCTCATGGAGTACTGTTATCCCACTTCTGACAGACCTATCATAAGGGGAAGTCGTGGCCGAATGGTTAGAGAGTCGAACTCGGGTTAGAGTCTCGTACCGGCAGGGATTGTAGGTGGGGGGAGTGAATGTACAGCGCTCTCTCCCACCTTCAATACCACGACTGAGGTGCCCTTGAGCAAGGCACCGAACCCCCAACTGCTCCCCGGGCGCCGCAGCATAAATGGCTGTCCACTGCTCCGGGTGTGTGTTCACGGTGTGTGTGTGTTCACTGCTGTGTGTGTGCACTTTGGATGGGTTAAATGCAGAGCACTAATTCCTAGTATGAGTCACCATACTTGGCCACATGTCACGTCACACTATATGTCACACACTATTAGATTTATTATTCATTTATTTACTTATTCATTTTAATCTAATTTATTATTATATAAAAAAAATTAAATACGTGTAATCTTTATAAACTAACAAAAAATGTTGTTTACATCGTTTTAGATTAAGTATAGCAAGATAGCAAGTCACAGTGCAAGACAATGTTTACATAGCTTAATGTCAATTACCTATTGTTGTACAGAAGACCTATTGTTTATTTTGAATGACAGGGATCTAAATTTTATGAGAATGAACTGAAGAAGGAGCAGCAGGTGAATCAGCGCATTGAAAAGATGATGGAGCAAAAAGCAAGAGTCACGAAAGAACAACTGAAGCAAGCACAAGCAGAGGTAACTCTGTAATGATTGTCATAAATGTTATGATTGGATTTTGGATTTTACATTTACATTTAGTCATTTTGCAGACGCTTTTATCCAAAGCGACTTACAATTGGGGAATACATAAAGCGATTCTTCTTAAAAAGGCAAACAGACACAGGAAGTGCTTGTAAAACCAAGTTCTAGGCATTGTTCAAATAAGTACAAGCTAGAAAGGGAAGGAATAAATAAAGAGAAAGAGTTTTTTTATTTATGATGAAGTCAGGTAGCGTCGAAAGAGATGAGTTTTCAGCTGTCACTTGAAAATTGTCAGGGATTCAGCATTCTGGATAGGGGTGGGAAGATCGTTCCACCAGCCAGGAGTGGTGAACGAGAATGTTCTGGAAAGTGATTTTGAGCCTCTCTGTGATGGTACCACGAGGCGTCGCTCACTAGCGGATCTCAGACTTCTGGAGGGGATGTAGATTTGTAGTAGTGAGTGGAAGTAGGCGGGTGCTGAGCCTGTGGCTGCTCTATATTCAAGCATCAATGTCTTGAACTTGATGCGAGCCTCAACCGGTAGCCAGTACAAGGAGATAAAGAGAGGTGTAACATGGGCTCGTTGAAGAGTCGTACCGATCCATTCTGAATCATTTGTAGAGGTTTGGTAGGTGATGTTCTTTCATCCATGCCGAGATGTCCGCCAGGCAGCCTGAGATCCGTGCAGCTACCGTTGGATCATCTGGTTGAAATATTTCCAACCATATGGACACACAAATTTCATGTGTCAGTTTTATTACTGTAATGTGAAAAAAATCTCATTCTCACTATCATTGAAAAATAAAAATATATATTATTTAAATCAAATCAAAATATTTATGCATCTTGGTTAATTTATATTGATATTACTTAAAAAAATGATCTGTCACCCTCATTAATGTTTTTACAAAATTGTAGAAATAATGACAATTACAAGCGCAAAAATAAAATATTTTGGTAATGACAGGTGGGGAATGTGCTTTAATGTCATGAAAATAATGGCACATGCACTGAATCTTAATGGTCCTAAAATAAGCTGTATTGTCTTTATGCAAAATATAGTGAAACATGACCTGGCCAATGCATTAATTTTAGGACTCCTTTTCTCAGCTGTTCAGGCAGAATTATTATTTAAGAGTTTTCATACCACAGGTGGACAAACTGACGTGTGAACTGGAGAGGAGTCGAGAGCTGGGCCGTGTGATAAGATATATATATATATATATATATATATATATATTCAAAAAAACATACTGTACAATACTGTATAGATATGTATATATATATATATATAAAGTATATATTCTATTTATGTGTGTTGTATAGGAACATCTTCTCAGTTGTTTCACTTCCCTATTTATTGGATTTATTTATTGGTTTTAAGCATTATAAACATGTCTGTATAACGCCCTGAATGATTTCCACACAGTTTCAGGGTTCGTACGGTCATGAAAAACCTGGAAAAGTCATGGAATTTTAAAACACCAATTTCCAGGCCTGGAAAAGTTTTGGAAAAATAAATAAACCCAGAAAGTTTTGGAAAAGTCATTGAAATCTATTTCACAAAACTCTGTATAATAGAATTGTGTTTAATCAGGTCCTGAATTTCTGTGCGGGATTGCGCATAGGCTATATCGCATAGTTTTACTCATTCCCGCAGCTTTTGACTTTAAAATAATGGATATTCACACATTTATTCAATAGCCTATAGCATGTAGGTTTGATGAGTAAATAATCAAACCTACATACTGAGTCCAGTCCACACAGACTGATCAAATAAGTCATTTGAAAACAGCATGAGTGATTCAGCTGTACGCGTCTTCTCTCTTTGACTTTCTCTTCAAACGGCTTCACATCGGCGAATCTTGTCTGCGCTACAAGAGCCGCTGCATGCTGCGATACAAGAAAGATCTTTGCTGCTGCTAAGGACCTTCTCAAAGTTGAGATTGACAGTGTCAGCCCTCAGCCACTAAAACTAAGACTCATGGGTATATATTACACCTCATGTTATTCTCGTAGTTGTTCTCCGTTATTTCTTTGAAATATTAATGTAGTGGGAGAACTTGCACAATTGGTGGCTGACTAAATACTTTTTTGCCCCACTGTATATGTATATCACCAAGGATGCATTTATTCAAAAATACTGTAAAACTGTAATTACAATAAGTTTAAAAATGTTTTCTATTCGATCAGATTTTGAAATATAATTTATAATCCTTCTGAAATCATTCTAATTATGCTTATTTGATCAGATATGCTGATATGATTTTTTCCTGATCATACTTTCTTATCAATCTTGAAAACAAAGTTTTCAATTTTGATGAACAAAGATAAATTTTTTCAAGGATTTTTTTTGGTGAACAAAGTTCAAAAGAACTGTTTATATGAAATTAATTTTTTTGTAACATTAGACCTATAAAAGTCTTTATTGTCAAAGTCTTAAACTATAAAGTTTAAAAGTTTTTTGATCAATTTGATGCACCTTGCCAAGTAAATGTAACTTTTAAAAAATACAATCTTTATATAATTTCTATAAAATATATAAATTTTAGACAAAAAAAAATCTATGAACTATATATAATAATAATAATAATAATCTTATTATTAACTCGTAATGTTTTGTCTAAAGTTTATTGTATCATTGCATGCAATATTTGCCATGTTTTTTTTGGAAACATGAAATCTAAATGATTCATCATTGCAGTATTTGGCATCATGCACAAAGAATCAGACCATACAATCAGATTTTTTTCTTTCTTTCTGAAGCTGTCTTAGGTGTGTTTATTTCAGATTCAGTTTCTGATGTGTGTTTTGCAACAGGTGTTCGAGTGTCCGGCTTTATCAGCGCTGAAGATAAAAAACCTCTTCAGAGGAGTATAATGGGATTCCTGCAGAAAGGTGGATCTGATTCAGGCAATTTCACGCAGTGTGCTGGATCTGTGCTCAAAGCAGAAGAAGACAGTGATGGTGCCAGTTTCCTAAAGCCACAGGCCACTGAGATGAAAGTACCTTCTGTGTCTGAGCAAAAACCCAAATCTAAAGGACCACAGCAGCAATCGTTTTTTCAAAGAGCACAGTTGAAAAGACTACAGCTGCAGCAGCAGGTACAAATTTCTGTTATGGCTGGTACAGACACAACAAACAATAGTGCTGACGCAGCTGCTGATACACAGACAGATCTACCAACAACAAACAATCTGTCAGACACAACATCAGCAAAAAGTTTGTCCAATACAAACTCAGGGACAGACACAACAAGCTACGTAAACAAACCCGCAGTTTTAAAGCCATCATTTAAAATCTCAACCCAGGTGCTGCCGTTTCTCACCTGTCCTGTGTGCAACATAGAGATGAAGGATGTAAACCTTACAGCCTTCAACAACCATATTGATGAATGTCTGAAGGGCAGTGCGGTGGATAATGAACCCACACATTTGGATGCGCCTAAGGACCAGGAAGAGCTCAACAGCAAACCACCTGCATCAAGTTCAGAAAGCAGGACTTTAAAATCCTCAAGCCACGACCCATCCTGTAATGAAGAGAAGCCGTCCACTAGCATCTCTGTGCCACTGGTGGAAACTGATGAAGACGGTGATTTCAAGACTCCATTTTTTAGTCACAGGACAAAAACAAATGGAAAGCGTTCTGTTCTTTCTAAAAAGAAGATGCCTGTTTGTGAATCTAGTTCTAAAGCATCACCCACAACACACAATCTTGGGGCTGTCACAGAGATGTCATCTGACTCGAACGGCTCGTCTTTGACGTGTCCCGTGTGCAGTCAGTCGCAAAGCACTGATGACCTCGCGCTCTTCAACCGGCATGTGGATATGTGTCTCAACCAGGATGTTCTGCTGGAGTTTAGAGAATCTCATCCTCCTGTGGGTTATTCAGATGAACCAGCACTCAAGAGCGTACGAGGTCAGTGCAAAAAAAAAAAAGAATAATAATCAACACTTTAGTATAGGGACCAATTCTCACTATTAACTACTTGCTTATTAGTATGCTTATTATTAACATATTGGCTGTTTATTAGTACTTATATCTGCATGACCATATTCTATATCCCTAGTCCTACCCAGTACATAAACTTAACAACTACCTTACTAACTATTGATAAGCTGCAGATTAGGGGTTTATTGAGGAAGAAGTCATAGTTAATGGTTTGTTATTAGTGAGAATTGGGCCTTAAAATAAAGGATTCAAGGAATCGCATTTGGTAACAATAACCATAACATGACAAGTAAGGAAAGGAAATGATTATAATACTTTTGTTGTTTTGTTTTTTACAGGCCAACTGGGGGACCAGGGAAGAGTTTCTAAAGTGAGAGAAAAAAGCAAAAGGTATTTAACTGTAAAAGGCAATAGTACAATATTGTAAGAATGCAATTTGAATGTACACAAATGTTTAAAAAGTTTGGGGTCAGTAAGATTTTTTAAAAATATTAATACTTTTATTTGAGCAAGGATGCAATAAATTGATCTAAAGTGACAGTGAAGACATTTATAGTGTTAACTTTCTATTCATCAAAGAATCTTGAAAACATGTATCACAGGTTACACAAAAATATCAAGCAGCACAACTGTTTTTAACATTGATAATAAGAAATGTTTCATGAGCAGTAAATTGGCACTAAGTGGCTTTATTCATGAACATTAAACAAATCTTACCAGCCCTAAACTCTAACACTAATGTGTATTCTTTTTGTGTCTCATGATATTTATGTATTCTCCATTTTAACTACAGGCAGGGATCATCTCTTCTTCCTCCCTCGAAAAAACCCAAAGTGTTGAGCACAAAACACACGATCGACAAGTTCTTCAAAGGCAATGCCGGACAGAAAGTCTAATTCTTTTACAAATCCAGAGAGTTTTAATTTATGAAGAAGAGACTTTATAATCCATAAGGATTTTGCTGGATTCACTTGAGGGAATATTTTGATGGAACAAGTAAGAAGATTCTTGTAGGGTGAAGAAAATCAGGTGTTTGATAAGAGATGTTTCAGATGATATACTCTGACACAAAGCTGAAAAACTGTTTGGGTATATTTTTTGTCATTATTGAAATGTGTATTTGTGTGGTGGAAAAATGCTTCAAATTTATACTTTTGGACTTGCCTCTTTCAGTATTTATGTAGATCATTGAGGTTACATGTACATTTATATATGAGTGAAATAATTTTATTCTATGCATAAATGGAAATGAGCATTTAATTGTGTATGGATATTGTAAAGCACTTTATAAACCATGACATAAGGCTTACCATCTAAATAATAAATATTTTCAAGTTTCATAATTGATAAATTTTTACAATTCTGCATGTATATAGGCAGTATATCTAATTTCCACCAAAAATAAATGAACAAAAACATTGTTCTCTTAATGTTGCTTTGTGTCGGTACGGAAATATATCAGGTTGTTTTTCTTTGTTTGGAAACTATTTAAACAGCTTTACTCTTGTTGTTGTTTATTCATCAATTCTCTTTCCATGATAAATGCTAGGATGTTATTTATAGTATTGTAAAGTACACTTCCATTCAAATGTTCGGTAAGAATTATTAAATGTTTTTGACAGCAGTCTCTTATGTTCACCAAGACTGCATTTATTTGATTAAAAATACAGTTACAAAAGCGATATTGTGAAACATTTTTTATTTGAAGTCTTCGGTATCACATGATCTTTCAGAAATCATTCTGATATGCTAATTCGCTGCTCAAGAATGATTTATTATGATCAATGTTAAAACCGTTGTGCTGCAAGATGCATTTTTCACCTCCCCAGGATTCTTTGATGAACAAACTTAAACAGCAGCATTTATTTGAAATACAAATCATCTGTAAATGTAAATGTCACTTCGATAAATTGAATCTGTGCTTGCTAAATAAATGTATTCATATTGGGGAGGAAAAATCATATTGACCCAAACTTTTGAATGGTGGTGTATATATGCATAATAACCTTAAACCTCAATCAGCCATTTAACTCTATGTACTCTGGGTGAGAGCGCATGTCTTTGGGGCGTGAGCTCTTGAGTGCAAACAAAACCATCCACCCGGTGTATTTTACAGAATACACGTCTGCAACTCTTAAGAGCTGTGCAACCAGTACAGTACTATGGAGAGGAAAGCTAAAGCCATAAAAGACTGCATACTGAAGCAGCCTGTTTGGAAAAAGGAGAACCTTCATCCCAAAACATGGTTAAAATCAAACCATGTCAAAGGTTTTACTGAATTCATACTGCCAAATGACATTGAAGAAGATGGTGGTTATGACTGTAAGGAAATGTGTGAGTATAGATTTTCCTTCTTGATTGTGCTAATGATATTTCATATATTTAATGGTTATGATGATTCCTCAGTACTGTTCATGTGTTAATAATTGTCAAGCAAACAAGTTGTAGTTACTCCAAAATAGCCTCTATATTTTGAATTATGAGTTCATATGTATTCATAAAAGACTGGAAAGATTGATGCCCGTCTACCATTCATTTTCCAACCTATATTTAGAAGAATATTCAGTGTTCAGTACGAGTTAAACACAAGCATGTGTACCACGGTTTCCATGTCTTTCCATGGAAATAAATAAAATCCGAATTACCCTGAGGCGCTTACAATGGAAGTGAATGAGGCCAATCTGTAAATGATAAATGAATATCAATAAGACAAGAACACATAAGCATAATTGAACAATACATAAAAAGTATGTTAACATGATCTTGGTGTAAAAAAAAACACCACCAAACTTTTCTTTCAAAGTTACTACTAATACTTACAAAGATTGAAATAGTATTTATACAATTTTAACAGAAGAATTTATAAGTGATTTTATACAATTACGAACGTCACATTTCTGCTTGTAAATGCTCCTGAAATCGATCACGCTCACTTCCTTTTTTAAGTACCTCACCTCGGCAACCTTAGTTTTTCCTTTTTAATGAAAAAAAGGGATGAGTCATTGTCATGTTTAGTTTTTTCTTCAATATTAAACCTATTTTATAACCGTACCGAACTTGGAATATTTCTGAATATTGAAATCAGATTAGAATTCCAGCACACAAATGTTATTTCCGCGGTAACTGAAGTGTGTACTATTGGCCTGTCTGACTCAACATTCATTTATCACACTTGACATCATGTCTTCCAGTGGTCCTTAAAGTGAACACCCAAAACACAAACTGTACTCAGTGATATTTACACATCTCTGTGTACGTCAAACAGAATAGTAGTTACTTTGATATTTTCCTGTAGTCACTCATAATTAAAAACTGCTCTAGAAAAAAAAATACCATGGTTTTGAAACATAGTACCATGGTAAAACCATAGTGAGTACTATGTAAATACCATGTCGAACCAATAGAAACATGATAATCATGCCATCTAATACATCGCTGTTTCATACCTTTTATGTAAAGTATAGTATTCAACTGATCATTCAACCTACAGTGTTGGAGGTTGAGAAAGACTTCATAGAAGCCGCAAAGAGAAACGACGTGGAGGGCATGAAGCTTCTCGGGAGAGGCGTTAATGTCAACTCCAAGAATGTGGTATGTCAATAAACTGCTCTTAGCTCACTTACACACATGTGGGATGGGTGTTTAAGAGCAGAATTTACACAGTAGCAAATACAGACGTGTTTGTTCACCGTCTCTGAGCAGTTCTTATGAATTTGTGTCTCGTGTCAGCACGGTCGAACTGCTCTTCATTATGCTGTGGCCTTCAGAAATGTGGAAGCTGTTGATGTGCTCCTTCGAAGGAGAGCCAAACTAGATTTGCAAGATAAGGTATATGTTTGCCCAGTCGTTAATGATTGACACTGTTACTCTTAATAAGATCAGTACTACGCTCATACTGTGTTTCTGCAGCATGGACTGACTGCTGTTCACTTAGCAGCATGGTTTGGGAGTTTGGAGATCCTCAAGTTACTTGTGCAAGCTGGCGCTGACCAAAGCATTGAAAATACGGTGAGCTGTTCGCTGACCATTTAATTGATTTATTTTCAGGTTTATTTGACAGGAACAATGCGCATCAATGATACATAAATGTACTATGTGCCAGAATTAGCCAGAAGGCTTATTTTGCATCTGCAGTCCCTGGACTGATGGTAAAATTGTCACCCTAAAAATATGAAATAAATAATCTATACATAATACATACATGCTTCAAAATGCATATACAATTTACACTATATCTAATACATGTAGTTCTATCCCAATACAAAAACTAAAAAAATCAACATCCGCTTAAAAATTACGCTATACATAAAACCAACAAATCAACACCAGCTCACTCAAACACACAATCCAACTGTCAGACAATATGACAAGCAATGTATCAATACAGTGATTCATAAAATAAAAATAAAAAGTATTTATATGGATTAATCTGCAGTTGCTGTGGCATTTCCATATAAATACATACCACATTAAATCTACTACTACTCTATAATTATTTTTTCTCTCAAATTATGAACTTTAAGTGTTTCAGAAAACTTGCAGAAAATATTTCTAACCATAATTTTACATATATATTGTTTCACATAAATAATTCACAATTGGGAATTTTTTGAATGAAAGACCAAAAGGATAAATAATGCATATGTATTTTCATAACATTCTTTGCTCATATTTACCAAGAGGGCTAATAATCTCAACTGTTTAAATAAAAGTTTTTTTTTTCAGATTTTCACGCAATAATTTATGTAGAAACTCATGAACACACATGACCTTTAACCTTAAATTTATTTCAATTCTTATTTTTTATATTACTGTAACACCACTAGCATTAAAATGAGTAACTATTGCTTTTATGTAAATTAAATTAACTCTTAATTTATTAAATAAATTCATATTCATTTCACTTTCATAAAGACTGCACTTTACAATTTATATATACAGTATATATATATATATATATATATATATAATGTAAAAAGGATTCTAATGTTGTGTATTATTCTAAGTGTTTTAAATTATATTTGTTTCCCATTTGAATTGTGTACACTGCAGATGCCCTCTAGAAGTGAGTGACAACATCTGCCACTGCAATTGTGTAACACCTCATATGGCTTATTCATAATGCATTTAGGACATAAATGTAAATATTCTGTGTTCAGGAGGGTCTGAACATGATGCACTGCGCTGCCATGAACAATCACACTGATATTGTAGCTTACATTGTTGATGACTTGCAAATGGGAGAACTTGACAAAGAAGACCAAGTAAGGAAACAGCAGTTACAATAAAAGCAAGAACCAGAATTAAACGTATATATAATATATATATATATATATATACATATATATATATATATATATATATATATATATATATAAAATGTAAAAAGGATTCTAATGTTGTGTTTTATTCTAAGTGTTTTAAATTATATTTGTTTTCCATTTGAATTGTGTACACTGCAGACGCCCTCTATAAGTGAGTGACAACATCTGCCACTGCAATTGTGTAACACCTCATATGGCTTATTCATAATGCATTTAGGACATAAATGCACATATTCTGTGTTCAGGAGGGTCTGAACATGATGCACTGCGCTGCCATGAACAATCACACTGATATTGTAGCTTACATTGTTGATGACTTGCAAATGGGAGAACTTGACAAAGAAGACCAAGTAAGGAAACAGCAGTTACAATAAAAGCAAGAACCAGAATTAAACGAAACACTCAAACATAAAGTTTGCATGTTGTTTTTCTGTCAGTATGGTAACAGGCTTTTTGCCCTGGCCGCAGCACACGGCTGTGTTCGCATGCTACAGATGCTGATGGAGGAGCCTTACAACATGGCCACCATGGAGGAAAATGAGGTTCATTTATTATATCCTTCAGTTTGTAGATGCTTTTTTAATTCACAGAAAAGTATGTGTTGTAGCTGTAATAATTTGTTCAGCAGGGCCTGGTTTTCTCTGGTTTGATTGACAGGTTGGGGACACACCTCTGCATCTGGCAGCCAAAAACGGTCAATGTGAAGCACTGCAGTTACTTCTAGACAACTTTAACATTCGCAATGAGGTCAACCAGGTAAAAATCTGTCCTATTTAATGCAACATTGATCCTTCTCAACACAGAAAATGCACACACACATTGATGTGATGTATTTGCGGTGTGTAGGCAGGACAGACCGCTCTGTATCTGGCTGCAGATGGAGCTCATGAGGACTGTGTACAAGCCCTGCTGGAGGCAGAGTGTGACCCAAACATCTTCACCTTAGTATGTACTGAGTATGTACAGAGGTGATGATTTTAAACATCTCTTTTGAGGGCAACGTTGTTTACCATTATTGACAATGGTTTTTTTTAACCATGAAGTATTAAACATATTCAGCATTGTTTCTTAGAGAATGGTTACCTGTGATGATTTTCAGAGCAGAAGCAGTCCTCTGCATCCGGTCTGTGAGAGGGGCCACTTTCCTATTGTCAAACTCCTCATCAATAGTGGAGCCCAAATGAACGCTCAGAACCAGGTAAGACATTTTCAACATTGTTTTTTTTCCCTGCTGCCTGAAGTTTTTAATGCTACTGAATTGACACTAATGTCAA